GGTAGACAAGGGCTGCAGCAAGACCAGACTCAATGCATTAGGCTGGCAAAACACACTGTGCCTATGCACGTTATACCTATTTGAACTTAGCCTGCTGATTGTTTTTAGTAAAGTTTTAGCTCTTAAAATTTTAATGTTGTCTGAAACAGCATATAAACTTTGAAGTGACTTGAATTATAATGTTTCAAACAAACAAAAAAAATTATATATTGGCTATTCAGTACATTCAGGGTACATTTACACGTCAGTATTCAGTGACTGTCACTGAATTTATGTGATAAAATCTGAGGCTACAAATGTGAGATGAACTTTTAAGTCAGTAAGTCAGGAATGTCTGACTGAGCAGCCCTGTTCCTGCCAAAAGCATTCTTCTATGTATTGAAGGGGATGAAATGAAAAGCGCTGCGGTGGAGAGAGCTTCCTGCTGCACTTCTGGTAGCTGTCTGCCTTAGATGCTTCTGCAGCTGCTTTCCTTTGGAGCCTTTCCAGAGAAAGTCATTGCTGATCCAGGAAATGTGTTGTTCCATTAAATTTCATGGCTATCTTATGTTGCATCACATTTAGCTCTATCATGAATAAACACTTGCTCGAATCCATGTAGGATGTAATCCTGTGGTGTCAGTAAAATTAATTCTTGATGCATCCCTGCCCCCTCCAGCATTGCATCCTGAAGTCTGAGGCGCTGGAATGTCCTGGATGCGCTATCTGCAGAGCTGAATGCACCTGCAGCCCAGTGCAAATGATGGAGCAGATTTGCCATGGGACGACAGCATAGCTGTGCAGCCTGCAGGCCCTTTGGCTGTGGGGCTTCTGGCACTGCAGGGGGTCCCGCGGCTGCCAGGAGCACCTGTAGCACCAGCCAGTGGCTTCCAGATGTGTGGTGAAGGCCTCCTTTTGTGCCTGTTTCCTGTGGCAAGAGCCATCCCCGTGGGTCCCAAGTAGTGATTTGGGTGAACACCATGAACCAGTTAGAGGAGGTTAGATCATCTAGGTTGGATATCTCTCACTAGTTTTCACTGGTATGCATGTAGATTTCCACTGAAGAGTGGGAGTGGTGCTTCTAGCTGGTGTGCCATGGAACACAAGATCTCTCTGTGTCAATCCAGTTGCGGTTAAGCTCCTGTCCAAAATTTCCTCCATTCTTAGCAGCTGAAAAGGTAGAAATGAGAAAGTTCTGAATTCCTGCTGTGATTATAACTTTCTTCCTCGTATTAGGAAGATATTTGGGAGAGGTGGTGTGTCCTGAAACAATTCTGTTTCCTGGAACTGATTGAGTGGTTGAGTACCTCAGACAGGAGAGGCCGGAGTGGTTTAGAGTTGGGCAGTATGAATGTGAACACACTGAGCTGCAGTGGATTCTATCTGCAACAGTGCAAAGAAATGCTGTTTGGTTGTGTTCAGCATTCGCATACTGCTACCAACTGCTGCATTCCTTAAGTGTGAGCATGTCAATACTAAACGTTACGGTTACGTTTTTCTTTTTGTCTTTTTTTTTGTTTTGATTCTGTCTTTACATTTATTGAAGTCAATGAGATTTTTGTGACTGGATAGGTTGTTCTGAAGCTTTTCTTGTTTTGTGGGTCTTTTTGTTTGTTTGCTTTTAACATAGTGCTAACATTCTTCTTTTCTTTCAGAATCCATTATTTCTTTAAGCTCACTTTACTGTGTGAAAACCAATGGAGGCATTCTGCAAATTCTCAGCTGTTAAGCTTCATGTGGCTTTTCCAGAACGGGCTATAGGTGAAGGGATTCACAGGCTGAGAATTTAATAGTGAGGAGTGGGAAGGGTTGTGAAAGGTTCCTGCTCTTTCTTCCTCTTTCCTTTTCCTCCACTTCCATTTCCAAAGTGATAAATCTGTGTATTATTTGCAGGAGATCGTACTGAAAAACTGTGTCAGGCACATCCCACTTTTGGAGGGGTATCTTGTGCTGTCATTTTGGTCATCACTACATGCCCTTTTGCAGTGTACAAGCATTTGTCGGAGGTTTTTCAGGTACTGTCACTCCTAAACATACTAACAGAGAGCAGGCACCATCTCCAGTTGTCAGATTGACCTCCTTTGAGGAGAATCAGACTTGAGACTTAGCAAATACTGCGTGTGCTTGTATCATATGTGAAACTTCCTGATGGCTTCTTAATTGAACCTGGAAAACAATCTGTGAAGTTACTGCTGTAAGTAGAGTTTTGGTTCTGGTATGGGACAACAGAAGCACATCATTGTATTTGAGAGATAAATACAGTGCTTTTTAACAGTGCCATAGAAACTCATTACGTACTCAGAGACTTGAATCAAGTTTTATAAAATAGGCACATGCTCATTTGTAAAGTAAATTGTAACAAAGTAATTTCAAGAGCAGCCCCCAATGAACCAGAAGTCTGTGGTTACAGCTGCTGAAAATAAGTTACTCAAGGCTCCCTCTAGGCTGATTATAGGAAGGTTTCTCTGCTCTGTGACTTAATTTGCAAGTGGAGAGCTGGGAAGGAAGGACTGTGACAGGTGAGTGGTATGGTCCCTTTTCCTATGCAATAAAGGTAGCAGCACAAGTGCAGTAGGCATTACCTTTGCAAGAGTTTTATGCCGATCCCAGAAGTTTTAAGAAAGAAGATGAAGTGCCAAATGTAGGATATACGTCAGCAGAAAGTATCCTTAATAAATCAAAGGACAAATAGTTTTGAGACAGATATGTTTATTGAAGGTAACTATGGATGGATGGCAAATACACAACCATTTTTCAAAGGGTCTCCAGGCAATTAGTGAGATAATTCATCAGTGTTGATAGGAGGAAGGGAGAGGGTAAAATCCTGCTTAAGTTTTAACATACCAACTAACGATGTCTTCTGTGTGAGTTTTATTACTTGGCAGCATCCACTGTGATTAAATCTCAAAAGACTGGGTTTTTTTTGTTTTTTTTTTTTGTTTTTTTTTGGTTTTTTTGGGGGGGGAGGGGGCTGTTTCTTTTGAAGTTGCATTTATTTATAATAAATATATACAGCTGACGTATATAATACAGTTTGTTAGCAAAAAAGAAAAAGAAAAAAAAAAGAAAAAAAAACCTAACGGTCTCCCCACCCTCCAAAGGGGAAAGAAAAAAAGCCCTTATCAAACCATGTATGGTCTTGTCTTGTGAAATGTTTGTAACTGCTTGCTAAGCAAGCACTGCTAGGAGTCTGTGTAGCTGTGAAGGCAGTCACTTGCTTGTCAGAACTCAGAGTATTTGTGTTAATCATAAGGATGAACAGAAAGGAGCTGACCTGGACTCTCTCAGCAATCCTCTTCTGAAGTTGGGGTATCTTCTGCACAATATTCTTCCCCTTTATATACTTGTACCTGTTGATGTTTTCTTACTACTTACCATGCAGTGAGGAATGTTCTTATATTATAAATCAGGTATGGGCATGGAAGTACAACAACCTGACTTAACTTGCTTAATAACTAGTTAACAAAATACTTGCTTAAATCACTGCAAAAACACCTTATATTTCTGTGTGAATGTGAGTTCTTTACGTTATTGACTTAAAAAAAAAAAAAAAAAGACATTTTTATACTTATGTAATTTGCTTGGACAAAAGTCATGGACAAAAGTCAATGCCAGATAATTTTTAAGATGTTAAAACCTGAGAGCTAGTGAACAAACCAAAACAAATAAATGACCCCATTTTATGAAAGAGAGCTGTAATGGGAACCAGACTCATATCCATTGAGCCTCCAGATACAGTCCGTGCTTGCTTTGAAACTATAATCACTGTCTGGCTATGTATGTGGGACAAACAGGAACATGTCTGCATTGTGAGATAATGGTTTTGGATTTGCTCTGCAGCACAGCTCAGCCTTGGATCCAGAGCTCACCCCTCAGCTCCACCTTGTCCCTCCATATCCCAAGCCCATTGCTTGAACTGCTGGTGTAGGTTTTGTGAGGTCTTCATGGTTTGGGGAGGTTTTTTTTTTTTTGCTTCTTGCCCTTTAGTGAGGGAATGTGAATGTTGTTGAGCTTCCAAGACTGTTTCTAGGCAGCTTTTAGTAATCAAGCAGGAAAATGTAAACATCAGCTATATTTGTATTTTAATTAGTAGTTTTCTGGAAATGGTTTGCCTGTTAATCTGTGAAAACTCACAGCTGTCAGCTAAAATTTAGGTGAGAATTCTCTTTAATAGTTGCATTTTTTTCTTCTAAGAATGCTCACATTCAGATTAAAGCCCCTAAGAAGTGATTGTCTTAATGGTAAGGATGTTGGCTGCTCCATGAAATGGAATAAGGCTTGCCATGTTCCCCACCTCTGGTGAAGCAGGACAAGCCTACTGACTTCCCTTGACGTGCCCCTGCCTTACAGCAGCAGATGAGCCAGGCTCTTCTATTCAGGATATTTCCTCATTTGGAGGAGGGTAACAAATACAGTTATAATAACAAAGACTGCTAGTTTAACTAGCAGCTCCAGCAAATGTGCGCCAATTCCCTCTTACTAAATAAATAAAGCCTACATCTAGACTACTTATTTCTGTTCCATTTTATGTAGGTGTAATACTTTTTACTGCAAACAATTCTGAAATGCTCCCTGCCCAGGGAGGTGGTGGAGTCGCCATCCCTGGCAGTGTTCAAGAGGCGTCTGGATGACGTGCTGCGTGATATGGTTTAGTACTAGTGGTGGCAGTGGTGATGAGATGGTTGGTCTAGATGATCTTATAGGTCGTTTCCAACCTTGAGATTCTATGATTCTATGTAACTGAGATATTCAAGCAGATTCTAAGAGGTGTTTGGCTTTCCGTAGTTCCTTCTTTTTGTCAGATGTTCCTACGTCTGCATGAAGAAATTCATCCTCCTTTGTAAACTGTCTAAATGCCCCATGCAAGCAAAATTTCTGTTCATTGATTTATACAGTCAACTTGAAGACATTCTTGATAGCACGAATCTGACCAAATATGAAGTCACAACAATAGAATAAATTAGAGATTACTTAGAAATCAGTACCAAATCCTGCGTAAAACTTCCTCTTTTCTCCGGTAGTGTTTAATTATTGGAGGTGGCCCATGTGGCTTGCGGACTGCCATAGAACTTGCCTTCCTGGGAGCCAAAGTTGTCGTCGTGGAGAAGCGGGACACTTTTTCAAGAAACAATGTGTTGCATCTCTGGCCGTTTACAATCCATGACCTCCGGGGACTAGGAGCAAAGAAATTTTATGGGAAATTCTGTGCAGGATCCATTGATCACATCAGTAAGTACCTACGGATATGGATTGTGGTCCGATAAAAGAGATGTGGAGATCAGATTAATGGAGACTTTCTCTGTATGACAGAGAGCTTATCTGCCATAAACGTATATGCATGTTAAGGAGAGAGAATAAAAGATTTCATTGAAGCAAAATGGCAGCTGGACAAATGACAGTCTTATGGAGCAGTTTGTTTAGTCTGGACTTCTTAAAACAATAGGTTTATATTACAGCTGTATGTAGAATCTTGATGTTCGTTCTAGTATGCTAAAGGTAGATGCAGCTCTTAATGAGAAGATAGGTGTAAGTGTGGTATTTCACAGGGAAATATTTTCGTGCTGTAATTTTTTTTTTCTTCAGGTGGTTAGCATATTGAGTATATAAGTACTCTAAATATTGTTAAAAAGGCAAGCTTTAATTTTTTTTATTTTTTTATTTTTTTTAAGAAAATCACGGAAATCATTTTTATAACCTATCGGATTGGAAAATGAGAAATAAGAGAACAGTGTCCTATGGTGGTTGCTACATTTGAATTTGCCACAGTATGGGAAATAATAGTGCTATATGTTTTTGTTAACAAGGAATATCAACTGGGTGGCATGCTGGCAGAACCTGTACTTGCTTATGCATTGAATACATCTTTGCTTCTTGCTACTTACAGGTATTCGACAACTTCAACTTATCCTCTTCAAAGTTGCACTTATGCTAGGAGTTGAAATCCACGTGAATCTAGAATTTGTGAAAGTCCTGGAACCCCCTGAAGATCAGGAAAATCAAAGTATGGTTTATCATAACGTGATTCTTTACAGAGTAACTTCATGTCAGGTCTTAAGAGAAATCTGTCAAGGTAGTTGAATTCTGCTTAAAGGAATTGGAATCTTTTGCCCTTCTTTTTTTAGCCAGGTTTGCTGTCTGCAACTGTAGGCATAATAAGTATTGTTGTGACAATGCTCTGATAATTCTTAAAATATGGTCCAGCTTTAAGAGTTGAGGTTTTGCACTGTGTCTTCTGGCATGCATTTGAGGCTTTGCAGGGAGTCTGCTGTGGCTTTCTGGTATCTTCTTGCGAAAACAATTTTTGATTGATAATACAAATATAGAGAATGGATGAAGCACTCTGGGCCTCATTTTGCTTTCACATTTGATACAACTCCCACTTGCTTAAGGTCTTATCAGTCATCTTATGCAAGATTTTTATGCAAGAAATAAAGAAAAAATCTCTCCATATATTAGTATTTAAGGAGTAGTAGCAATGGAATATTTTTGAATTTTACTTCATTAGAATACTGTGCTATTCCTCTGTAAATGTTCATGTGCCAATACTAGAACAAATAAATTGTTAAAAGTACTTGAAACCTATTATATATCTCTTAAATGTTGGCAATACTAACACTTTTAGTCAAACAGTTTTAACTTAATGCAAATATGAAATTCAGCTTCATTACTATACTTCTGTTAAATTGCCATTCAGGAGACAGAATTAATATTGATGTGAGGAGGCTATCTTTCTTCTTTTAAAACCCATCTTTTTCTGTTAATATGTATATATGCTCCCTTAATAAAGTAGTTGTGAGACTATTTTTGTGAGCATGTACTTGTGATATGGGCCTTTGAGGAGGTTTTGTGCTTCAGGAGATCCAAGTAAAGGCATTTTTACGTTGACAGCTTACGAGCTTGACACATTGCTTAACGCAGTTTTTTCCCTGCATAGATCTGAGGCAGAATGCAAATCCATTTGAATGAGAAATAGACCACTTATCCTGATACTTTTTCTTCAGACTGAAAACCCTGCTGTATTTCTGAACAAATATTATTCTTTGTGGTTTTAGAGATAGGTTGGAGGGCTGAGTTTCTCCCGGTGGATCACCCTTTGTCAGAGTATGAATTTGATGTTATTGTTGGTGCAGATGGCCGCAGAAACACATTAGAAGGTAGGTGAATGTCTGCTTTTAGCCATGTTGTTTTTTTCTGTTAGGATATATTGCAAGACCTGGAAGTCAGAGAACAAAAAGGAACGAGCCGCCTTTAAATCCACTGATGTCTGAGAAAACGAGTTGTTTTTTTATGTGCTATGTTCTACTTTTGTTGTTAAGTTGTGGCTCAAAATAAAGGTACTTAAATGTTGTGACTGATTCTCAGCACTGTCTGTATCTGCTTTGCCTCCAGAATGTAGCGTGGTTCCATTGGGCTACCTTCAGTGTTAGGTAATCGCATGGTTATTTAACTTAGAGCACTGACAAGATGCATGTCAGGAATTGCATTGTCTTTGCTATTGTGCCGTAGGCTTGCCTATATGCTTGAGCTAATGACCAAAAGGTGACTGACAGGTATTTAATGCAGGCATCAGAGGTGTAAGTCCTGTGTAAAGATGATTTAATTTCAGACACAGTTACTTTGGAAGCAGTTTGAAAAGATAACAAACCACTCCCCCGGGGGGGGGCATGCGCTTTGAGTCAGTGCTGAGAATGTAGACTGCCTGAGCTCTTTGTTAGTGAGACACTACTTAAGCTGCTGCTGTATCACACAGACAAGCTTGTTACCTAATTATATGCCTTCCTTGTAGCTTTAATTATGTCCGTGCTAATTTAAGTTCAGTAAATACTCCATTTCCCCTTTTTTGTTAGCTTTGTAATAGATCTGAGTTCTTTTCTTATGTCTGTCAAATGCAATATGCTAAGAATTAACTCCTTATGATATCTTTTATTAGAAAAATCTCCACGCTTTTCTGCTGTCTATCCCCTATGAAGGATTATTTAAGTAGTCAGGTGTCAGCAAAATAAAATTACTCTTACCTCAGCTGCAGACTCAACTGAGAAGCTGGTAGTTATCATTGTTACAGGATCTGAGGGAATATTTCATGCACTTAAGATTATTTACATACAGAAGCTGGTATTTCCATGTTAACTTATTCCAATGAAATTTTGAGAATGTATCAAGATGCACAGTGAGAAAAATCATAGCTGACTGATTTCTTAATAGAAGTGCATGTATTCTCTGTCAAGTCACGTGCAATTAGTGAAAAATACAGAATCTGTCCTACTTCACAATTTCCTTATGTATAAAGGGAATACACAAATAGAAACTGAATGCGTAATTGCAAGATGGGTGCTTAGCAGGTGTTTTTGTGAAACTAGGGTGAAGTAAGAATGCAAGTAACTTTGCTTGTTGAACTGCTCATATTGGAAATAAGTTACTGAATATTTTTCAACCCCTAAAATCTTTGAAAAATTGCATTAGTTTTTAGTGTGTGCAGCTAAGCCCTGTTATAGAGGTTTCTGTTTTCTCAGATGCTGCTTTTGACTAATGATTTTTGCATGTTTTTTCAAAACTGATTACTGCCCATCTAACATAAATCACATTTGTTATTCAGCAGGTTAAAAATGTTTCCCTCAATTAAGTTTATCTGCACCGTTTCCAGTTTATCTTCATTCCCCACTTTTCTTTAACTTCTCATGTTGAACTTCTTCCCCTACCTCCACTTCAGACTTCAGTAGGTTGTTTTGTCTTAGTTTGTTTTTAAAATGAGACTTTATCTTGAATACAGTACAATTCCACTTTTGCAGCTGGGACTGGGGGGAAAAAACTTTGCATTCAAGGGAGTTTAAGATGGAATGTGCTGATTGTGGTGTTTGATGAAATACTGGATTAGACCAAGTATTCTTCAGCTGATCCTCCTTCATATTCTTATGTCAAGTTTTCAGTGTTTTTATTTATTTTCTTTGCTTACTAGGTTTTAGGAGAAAGGAGTTCCGTGGAAAGCTAGCTATAGCTATCACTGCCAATTTTATAAACAGAAATACAACTGCAGAAGCCAAAGTAGAAGAAATTAGTGGTGTTGCTTTCATCTTCAATCAGAAGTTCTTCCAAGACCTTAAAGAGGAAACAGGTGGGGAATATTTCTATTAGCATCAATTTGAATACATTTCATTAAAAAAAAAAACCAAATGATAAAGTGCTGATGATGTCATAATCTTGCCAAGGGAAGTTATGTATGTTTACGATGTGGTGGGATTTTCTTCTTAGCTTAGGTGTTGCCACACTGTTGTTTGTTTTGGTGTTTAAATTTTTCTCAACTGTTTAAAAAAAAAAAAAACCAGCCATGTCCAATCAACTTGAGCAGAGCTTTTTCAGTGCCCAAAGATTTCCCTGAAGGCATGGTTTGTTTTGTTTGTGTGTGTCTGTTCACATACTGAGTGAACCCTGTGAAAAAGGTATTGCCCTTCTAGGAGGGGTTTGTTTTTCTTTTTGATGTGCAGATCTGATAAAGTGCCATAAATATTTGAATATAAACAGTGAAATACATCTGTATGAAAAGAGGTTTCAGAATAGTTGCATCCCCTGGAAGTACAAACAATTCCATTCTTACAGCTTATTTATTATTGATATTGCTACTGTAACAACATCAAAACTTCTGGTTAGACCCAAAGGCAGAAGTCTACCAACCTAAAAAGCATGTTGTTCCTTTTATTTCTCTTTCTCACCCCCGGAAGATTCATCATAGAATCATAGAGTGGCTTGAGTTGGAAAGGACCTCAAAAATTGCCTGGTTCCAGACCCTCTGCTTTGGGCAGGGTGGCCAACCACTGAATCAGACACTAGATCAGGCTACCCAGAGCCCCATCCAACCTGGCCTTGAACACCTCCAGGAACAGAGCATGCACAACCACTCTGGGTAAACTGTTCCAGCACATCACCACTCCCTCAGTGAAAAACTTCCCAACATCTAATCTGAATCTCCTCCCTTTTAGTCTAAAACTGTTCCCCTTTGTCCTATCAAACATCCTATTAATAAGGTTGTAATTAACTGGCTTTTCCTTAGTAGAATGCCAAATATCTTTAAATTATGTTGAGACAAACTCATTGGGTCACTCCTTGGGAAAGTGGAACAAGAAGACCTAGTAGGTCTCACTATAGTGTTATTAGTAAATGACAGAAAATGCCTTGTGCGTTGTAACAAATGCATTCTCTTTCAGGAATTGACCTGGAGAATATTGTTTACTACAAAGATAGCACACATTATTTTGTGATGACGGCAAAAAAACAGAGTCTTCTGGACAAAGGAGTGATTATAAATGTATGTAAAAATTCTGGGTAAAGCTTTACTTCATTTACTTGGCACATAATAACTGTGAACATCTGCATAAATGTTATTCCATATTATGGAAGGTGTTTATAGACTTATTAGGTCACTTGATTAGATCTCAGATCACTTAGGCTTTACACTGTTGACTGTTGTTGTTGTTGTTGTTTTTCCTATTAGCACAAAGTTTCTATAGAGAGGTAAAAATTATACTTGCTAAATTTCTCACTTGTGAGACTGGCAAAAATGAGATTTTCATTCAGCTTAGAAATGTGTGGTGTTGTCACCATCCCAAAAATAAGAACCTTGTTTAAGGTTAACCTCGCACAGCTATGTCCAGCTTCATCAGACAAACGAGGAAGTGTTATAATCTACCCCAGGTTAAGTTGCAAATTCTCCAAAGTTGATAAAACCTGCTAAAACAAGTGTGTAAACGTGAGGGCATGAGCTTTCAAAAATACCTGGAAATCTCTGGGGCCTTTTGAAAAACAGTGTTTTTTTTTCTTTTTCCTTTTATTTATTTTTTTTCTTCTCTAAAAGAAAGAGGTTGTTTTCCTTTGTTTCTAGAAAGTGTTTTGGCACTACTTAAGGCACTATTTAAATTTCTCTTCCTGGAAATGCAGTAGTAAGCAACTTTTCTTGTGAAGTAAGACGATGCCAAAACAGTCAATTATAAATTCCCATAGGAAGTGCCTGTAGGGAACTGTTGGAAGACTTCTTTCTGATGGGACCACTTAACTCAATGCTACAATTTCCAGACTTTTTGGAGGATGCAACCACAGTGATTGCCTCAGAGGTGACGGGACAGTGGTGGGTGGCCCCTGGAGCTAAGAGGCTGATGTCTTCAGATGGGTGGGATGGGGCATTTAAGGAAGAGGAGCTGTGGCCTGGCTGTCATTTTCCTGAGTCTCTCATATCTGAGTAAAGAGAACAATCTGCTGAAAGACAACTAGGCTCATAGCCATTCTGTGGCATCATCCTTGTGATTAGGGGTCTCATCCGTGATTAAGCTGTAAATAGAAACTGCCTTATTAATAATCTTTGGCTTTAAATAGAGTGACCTGTAAAGGGAATGTCCTTTACCACACTGACTGGAAAAACAGACACAAAAAAAAAGGACAATCACAATAAAAAAGAAAAATCAACCCAAGACAAGAACAGAAAAATTTCTGTGGTCCGAGTTTGACTGTGTGGACTTAGCTGTTAAGCCAAATCTTCAGGTTGAGAATAGCATATTAACATCATTGTTTCGTAGTTATTTCTGCTCCAATTTGTTTTTTTATGTAGAGTGCACTCAAAGGAAAAAGAGTTGGAGTGACAATGATCACATCTTTTGATAGAATGGAAGTTATGAAGAAAACACATAGCTAAGGAGCTGGGAGGCTCCATAATATTTTATTGCAAATAAAGCTGCTTTTCACTATTGGCACAGTGTTCCTATTTGCGGTAGCAGAAGAAACCTATATTTGTGTACTTTTGAGAGATCATGATAAATTTCCCTTGGTTCTTTATGCCGGGAGATGTACATTCCGCTCTGATGCTATGAGACATCAAGGCTCCACTTCAGAGAGTTTAGATGGAGTATGTAATCCTTCACCCCTCTCTCTTGCAGGACTACATCGATACTGAGTCACTCCTCTGTGGCGAGAATGTGAACCAGAGCAATTTGCTGTCCTACGCTCGAGAAGCTGCTGACTTTGCAACCAACTATCAGCTGCCTTCCTTGGATTTTGCAATTAATCACTATGGGCAACCAGATGTAGCAATGTTTGATTTTACATCTATGTATGCATCTGAGAATGCTGCACTGGTGAGAGAAAGGCACAGGCATCAGCTCCTGGTTGCACTTGTTGGAGACAGTTTACTTGAGGTACACCTAGGCTTATTTTCCAAATACTTTTTTAAATCCAGCCATTTTATCTCCCTTCTCAAACAGTCTTTGTATTCTCTTCCATGTCCTGAAACAAACGTACCTTCCTTGGAATAGACATTTTATTCTTTTTTTTTTAAATGCCATAGTTTATGTCATAACTAATGCTTGGCTGGTAGTCCCTGTCTGGGATTCTGTTTTGCTTTATGCGTGTTGTATTTCTGTCTGAAAACTGTGAGCTATGTGTCTTCAGCTTAGGTGCATGGTATAACTCTCCTGATTTCAGTCAGAGGGAAAAACTTAGTCCAAATTTTATTGCAGTCTCTTTGCTTTAGTATGTTTTCTTTCTTAAGTGAAAAGTATCCATTAGCTGTAAAACACACATTTGTCTTATTATTATTATTTTTAACCAGACTGACAGCCTGAAGTGTTTGAGAAGACTAATCCAAATGAAAGAAAAAAAGGCATAATTCCCACCCCTCATACCCTGCCCCACCACCTTTCAAACAAACAAACAAACAAAAAAGCCTGACTGATCTTTGACTACTCAGTCTTTTTTTCCGGGCCTTACTTCTTGAAGTTAAGAAGTCAGTTTTTCAGTGTATAAGTTACCAAAAAAAGAAAAAAGAAAAAAGAAAAAGTGAAAGCAGTCTTCTTCATTATCTGAGTCTTAGAGAAACCTCGAAAAACTGTAAGAGTTGGCTGTGCTGTATTTTAACTCTTTCCAGGCTGCTTTTCTAAGACTGTGTGAAAAGTTATGTTCCAAATTCATACCGTAAGTTCTGTAATAAAATCTGAAGAAATACAAAGAGTTAAAATGTAAATGTTTCTTACAGCCTTTCTGGCCAATGGGTACTGGCTGTGCAAGAGGCTTCTTAGCTGCTTTTGATACCGCTTGGATGGTGCGGAGCTGGGCTCAAGGAAAACCCCCACTAGAAATCCTTGCTGAACGGTGAGCTCTGCTTTTGTCTTCCTCATTTTCAGTGTGTTTTAAGGTGTTGCTGTGTTGGCTGAAGACAGTGGAAGATGAAACATCATCTGGATAAAAATTTTGTTTCCCTGCAGTGGCATTCAGTTGAAATTATCCATTCCTACAGTGGCACTTCTGTTGCTTCTGTACAGGGATTCAGAGATCCAGCAGCATGCCTGACATGGGTCTAAATCATTAATTTAAATTATGAATGACTAGATTCAAGTATAATCTGTGGGGAAAATCTAATGTTATCTTTAAACCTGTAGTTTAACTACTACAAGTTACCCAGAGAAGTTGTGGGTGCCTCAGTCCTGGAGGTGTTCAAGGCCAGATTGGATGGAGCCCTGGGAAGTCTAATCTAGTGGATGGCAGCCCTGCCCGTGTCAGAGATGTTGGAGCTCTGTCATCTTGAAGCTCCTTTGCAACCTAAACCAACCATCCTATGATTCTATGATCTTGTGAAAAGAAATAACACTCCAGGCACCTCAGCACCTGTGTTTTGTGTTTGTTGTTGTGGGGTTTTTTTGTTTTTTTTTCTTTTTTTTTTATTTCAGTAGCAAAAAAGATGTTCATTGCTGAAACAACCATAAACAAATACTTTAAAGCCAACAGCTTTCATTATTAGTATCTGCTTTTAACTTTGCTTTTTGGCTTAGTAGGTCAACTGCCCTCTCTATTTAGTCTGATAAATGTCTGCAAAGATGAATTGCTGTCATGCTGAATCATAAGCTTCTTTCTCTGTGCAATGACTTCTTGATCAGAGCAAAAACCTGTTGTTAACTACACCAGTAATCCTGGTGTGTCAATGGTCTGATGGTTGAAGTTGCTGACTTTGGTGTTGACAGCAGCTGCCCTGCTCTACTGCAGCTACCCAAGCTTTTTAGGGGTAGATAGACTATAGAAATAGTCATGGTTGTGGTAATGCAAGTAGGAGCATTACAAACTACAGTGCTTTGAGGATTTTTAAGATAGAAGCATGTGTGATGACTCAAACGCTTCATAGTCCCCAGTGGAAAATTGAACAGCATAATAAAAAAGGCTGTGGTGGTTATAGGAACACAGAATGACGGGTTTTTGTGCTGTTATGTGGTAAAGAAGTTACTCCTTGGGTGGAGGTTAAAGCAAAACCAGATGACTGTATGATGTAACCTTCTTTTTTTAAGTTCTTCTTGCTCTCTTCCTGCCTCAGGAAAATATGGGCATAAGTTCTGAGAGTCTGTCTTTTTGTTGACCTTCTTTCTGTCTGGCATCCTTTTCCTGCTGAGTGGGGGTAAGAAATGGGATGGAGGCATTATGCAGTTAGTGCATAACATTTGTCCAGGCAGAATCAAAATAAAGGTGCAGGTAACTACAAAAAAAAAAAAAAAAAAAAAAACTTTTTATTTAATGAATATCTTATAATCAATATATTTTACATCTTTTTTTTTTCTTTTCTTTGTAAGGGAGAGTATTTATCGACTCTTGCCTCAGACTACCCCTGAAAATATTAACAAGAACTTTGACCAGTATACCATTGATCCAGGAACGAGGTACCCAAACTTGAACTCAAGCTGTGTTCGACCTCACCAGGTCAGTACTCAAAAGACTCGCTTGGGAAATCACAGGTGTTTGTTATTTTTGCTGGGTTTCTTTTGTCCATGTATGGCCACAAGTAGTACATAAAATCTTCAGAAGACTCTGTAGTCTAGATCCAGCTGTTGATAAAATTAACCTAGAAAGAAAGAAAGTTTTTTTGCCCTTCAAGCAATTCTAACGTTGTGTTACAAATTATTTAACTTGTAGGTGAAACAATTATACGTCACCAATGAGTTACAGCAATGTTCTCTTGAAAGAGCAAGCTCCATTAGAAGATCAGTGAATCTCTCAAGACATGGTATGTGGTATCTCATGCTTGTAGTGGAAATATTGAAGCTTTCTGAGCATACAAAAAATGATCAAAATATTTGCTCTTTGCTAACTGCAGAGTCGGACATTCGACCTAACAAACTCTTGACCTGGTGTCAGAAACAGACAGAAGGGTACCGTAATGTTAACATCACAGACCTGACTACCTCTTGGAAAAGTGGCCTTGCATTGTGTGCAATTATCCATCGCTTCAGGCCTGACCTCATGTAAGTGACATCTGTAGATTTTAGGCATAAGATATATCAAGTATTCACCAAAGTATAGCATAAGAGCAGCCAAAATACTGGTACTCTACAATTCACTTCTATTTGTTTTTGCAAGGAAGTAGACACCATAGCGGGTTGTTTTTGTTTTACCTTTTTTTTTTTTTTTTTTCCCTGTGTGTCCTTGCATATGTAAAATGAAATGCATATGCTTTCAAAGATTTAGGAAGATTTTGAACCTTGTGACTCGTGATTATGTTCATGGGATTCACACAATTACTTAAAATGAAAATTGCAGTGCTTGGAGAATGTGAGAGCTGTATTCCCAAGTCTGCCTGGAGACAGGTTTTTAGGGTATATTTAAAACCACAGTTGTAATGGTACTGTCAGGAGTTAGAAAAATACTCGGTTCAGTCTTAAATGAGCTGTCTTATGCCTGCTGTAGTGGTTACCAAAGTAGCCTAGGCAAACCCCAGGCCACAGAGGTGATGTGGGAGATGGCAGCCTTGCACAGTTCTTCATCCAGTGTCCTGGCATGTGCGCCCTTGAAAATTAACTATTCTAGGAATTGATTGTATGCCAGCTTCTCCATTTTTTACTGTGTTTCTGGGGTCCTTACCCTAGGCTTGACTTCTTATATTTGAATATTTTAAAAGGTTTCTCAGTTAGAGACAAGAGGGCTGGTCTTTAACTTGGAGCAGGAGTGGCAATAACTGGCAGGGGATCACAAGGCCTGCTTGTTGACATCTATGCTGGGGTGACTCTTCTTCCCTCTCCCAAGTCCCCAAAATGCAGTGGGTTCTTTCTCTTGCCTTTCCATGCAGATTAGTCACCCACAGACTTAGGAGTCATGAGTGAATTACTGTCAGCTGCTCTTTATTGTAGATAAATGAAAGAAATCATTGAGTTGGTTTTTTTTAATGTGGTATAATAATTTGGGGGGAAAAAAATAGGAATGATGTCCAGGGCACTTGCTTGTATACCTTTATCAGAGGAAGAACTAACACTGCACATTCTAAGAAAAAGGTTGATGGGTTGTTTGGGGTGAGGTTTTTGTGGTGGAAGTTTTTTTTTGTTAGGTTAGTTGCTAAATAAATAAATAGAAACTTAAAAAGTGAAAATAAAAATAAAAAAGAGGAGGGGGTAGAATGAGTGTGGCAGATGATTATGGATAGTTTTGTTGCCAAAGGAGAGAGTAGAAAGCAAAGTCGTCCTTGCTGTATGTGGGAAATGTATCTCTTGGGCACTGCTCTCTAGAAAGTTGAAAGATTCCTGAGCTAACATATGTCATGCTGTTTGTTCACTTCTTTGGATCTTTTTGGCTCCTCCTGTTAAATGCGGTTGCTGAAGGAAGCACATGGCCAGACAGGAGCTGAGCAGGCCAGTGAGGGACAGGCTGCAGGCAGTGCTGGGGCAGAGGGCTGTATGCACTCTCTGGCTCCAGAAATGGGTGTTGAGAAGAGAGAAATTCTTTTGGGTTCAAAAGCTCACATTCCTTATGAGGAGAAAGAAACTACCCTGCCTGGAGCTTTATAACTTATTCTCATTTATTTTAATAATGGATTTTGGAAGTTGTTCAAAGATCCTGGAGCCTTAAAATAAGTCTTAGAGAAAATGTTTTAGAGAATGGTAATGCAGTTCCAAATGTGTGATATACTTATTTAGTGCACTAATAAATCTGGTTATGATATGTGCAGGAGCTCCTCATTCAAGCTGTGCATGTAACACCTTAAAGAGAAATGCAGTGCATCTGCATGTGTGCATGCACACATATAACATGTTTGTTTCCTAAAATACTCACCTAAATTACTCCTTGTGGTTTTGGTTAGAGCTCGGATTCACATGGTGAAATGCCCATGCCTGTTCTTACATTCTTGTCTTGCACCTCTCTGATTTACAAGGGGAACCTGTTGTGTTTCCAGGGGATACAGAGAACAAACTGGTACTGATGCCTGTACATTCTCCCCCACAGAGACTTTGATGCACTGAACGAAGAGGACATTGTCAAAAACAACCAACTGGCATTTGATGTCGCTGAGCGGGAATTTGGAATCCCCCCTTTGACCACAGGGAAGGAGGTGGGGTCAGCTGAGGAGCCTGACAAGCTCAGCATGGTCATGTACCTCTCCAAATTTTATGAGCTGTTCAGGGGCACACCTCTGAGGACAGTAGGTAAGCTGAACTGTTGCGTGTTCTCCCAAGTTTGGGAAGTGGGAGCACTTCACCTAGGCTGCTCACAAGCACTGCGTCTGAGCCACCAGCCATTTTCCAATTGAGCCATTCTGGCACACAGTAATGTCTGCAGTCATTACTTGTGCTTAGAAACAGAAAGGGGGAAGAACATGATGGGACACCAAGGTTTTGCAGGTCCTTGATGGTTTCAGAGAACAGAGGCAGTTCACAGAATCACAGAATTGTAGGGGTTGGAAGGGACCTCCAGAGATCATCGAGTCCAACCCCCTGCCAAAGCAGGTTCCCTACACCAGGTCGCACAGGAAGGCATCCAGGCAGGTTGGATAACTGGATAAGCAGTTGGATAACTGCAGCTTGAAATCACTAAGTTTGTGTATAAGGTCATTAAGAATCATTCTCTGTTAAGGGTGACTGCCTATGTCATGTCTGTTCCTTGATTTTTTTGTTTGTTTGTTAAAAACTTACCTCTGTATTGTATGCATTTTATAGCCTGAGTTTCTCATACATAATTCTTATTACTATTCAGCTGAAATGTAGTGGCATTGGCAATTTTTTTTTTTTAAATTGAATAAGTATACTTCAGTCTTTTTTTTTTTTTTAAACAGATGCTGGGGATAAGCAAAATGGAGAAAGTAATGAACTTTGCTCAGCAAAATCATCAAACTTCATCTTTAATAATTACATCAACTTAACTTTACCAAGGAAGCGAGTGCCAAAGGTAAACTGTGAAGAATGGTTTGCTCTATAAATCTTTGTCTTTTAAAGGTGGAAAATTAACTCCTATGCTCATAAATAAGGGCGAAGATTTGTGTGCACGTTAAGGAAGTAAAATAAGATTTCAACAAAAATTAACATAAGTGAACGCTACATCATTATGATGTTTGTAATGATAAAACTGAAGCATTGTCACTGTGAAATGGCTGAAGCATTAGTAAACCCAGTTAAGCATATATAATGCCAATAGTCTAATCTTAGTGAGAATTTGTGTGTATTTCAGGAGATTTCATATTCATTCTCCATATCAATCTTCTTCAGTGTAGACAAAAGGCAGGGAAGGAGGATGTTTTATTTGATGTGTTCCTAAGTTGCGGTTATCAACTCAAGATGTTGGAGTTGTTGGTTACATTACCTGCAATGTTTCTTATGCTTTCTTTTTAGAAAGTTTCCTAGAGGTATTTTTAAGAAGTTTGGCATGGTGCTACATGCCACGTTTTGTAGTTTTACTGTTTTCTTTTGTTCTTGTTTTGTTGTGGTTTTGTTTTTGTTTTCTTTTCTTTTGATGGGGAAGTCTGAGATTTTGCTAGGCATGAATATTACTCCCTTTAAGAAAAATAGTATTGTAACTTTATATTCCTAGGTTTAAATATATATTCGTAATCTTATATATTTGTTCAAATAGTCACTGGTATGTAAGAAGTCTTAGAAGCTTTTTTGAGCTGTTAGAGGGTTCTGTCTATGTTCTGCATGTGAGCCCTTCATACCCCTCTAGATATTAAAGCCTGCAAGGGTGGCAAACAGCAGACATACAGTTTAACTAACATGACCTTGGGATAGTGATCTGTTCAGACACATCTCTCTGTGTCACTTACTGATGAAAACTTATTGACATGCCCAGTTTATGTCCCTGTATGAAACACGTCAATGCCTGTACATGTTGCAATTAAAGACTACAGTGCTTTGAAGAGGTATGGAGAGCAGAGTTAATACTGTCTGACATAGGATTGTGTGCAGTGGGAGTATTGCCTTTGTATTTCTGAATGGACTATAAGTTCAAAAGTTCTAAATTAGAAGTTGCTGTAATGAAATTATTCTGTTTCACCCTCCACTTATTCATTAATTTGGTCTTCTGCTGAAGGAAGACCTTGAGGAGGGGTTTTGCTTTCACAGCCAAACGTCACTTCATTTTAAATGGGGAGTGTCTGCCAAATCTAGCTCCCAGGCAGTAGTGTCTTGCTGAAATTAACCAGTGCTAGTTAGACAGCAGTGTGTGCTTCTCCACCAGAATGAGTTCAACTTATGTTTTCTGACATACAGCTTTAAGCAAAACTGTTCCAAGTTTTGAGTTTCCTAGGCTAGACAGAAATTTGTTTGTTTTGTTTGTTTTTACAGACCTCCTTAATACTTCATTGTTTCCTTTATTCCCTATGCAGTATTTGCCAAGTTTTGCCTGCAGAAACACAATTTTTCTACTCTTTTGAGTGTGGTGTCCTTAATAAAAAATCAGGCGGATGTTTATTAACTTAATCAATGTTTTAAATGTGTTTCTTTTTGCATTTGTTACTATCTTACCTCCTTAATTGTGGTAGAGATGTGGGTTGTTTTTGTTTTGTTCTTTTTGGTTGCCTGAAAAACTACTTCAGAATTTCCAGATATTTCCTAGAGTTACTTATGTCTCAGATGTTTTCCATTCACAAACATATTTTCTAAACCCGTGGACAGTCAGCTGCCCCATAAGCTCATATATCCTTGTTAGGAAATATCTTTTCCCTGACATCCACATACAGACAAAACATAGTGGCATTTTTCCCATCTAACTAAGCACTGAGAAAGTAAACAGGCAAAATAAACATTGCATTTTCCTGTGGGTGACATCTTTAGAAGAAAAACTTTTTTTTTTCCTGACCACAATGTTATTATTTTTCTCTGAGTTATTTGCAGAAGCAACTAGTAGTAGTGGGGAAATCTTTCCATTACTGAGGCGTGCAGCCCTCTGACTAACCTCTCATTGTAAAACATGCCTTCTGTCTAACAGGAGGTGAATTTCTTGGCACTACATGAAAGCATGAGGTGATTTGCATGATGGGCCCCTTCAGTTTCACACCACAGGGGCTTGTTTGAACAGAGAAGGGGAAGCAATATTTTGCAAATCAGCTTGAGGAGTGAGATTGTCAGGAGCATTTACTTTATGTGAGGCCTTACAGCCTCGTCATGGATGGTGCATGAAGCTTAACAAGAAATACACTGCTCAGACTGGGACAGAAATTTGCAAAGACGTAACAGTGGGAAACCACCTAGCTGGGAAATAGGACTTCTTTGGAAGGTAACCACTTGAGTTAGAGTTTGGCTGTCTCTTCAGTTTTGTGGCTCTTTCCCCTGTGAAGAGTAGTGTTGAGCGTTATCCAGGTATGACAGGAGAAGAGCACTTAGGTATGACAAAATCAGAAACCATCTGGAGCACTGTAATATCTCGTTGTGAGCTCTGTACCATCCAGTTTGTCCTTTCATTTGGCTAGACAGGGGATCTTTGTCTGGGCACAACTGGTGAGAGACCAGGAGGTGCCTGGCATTGATGGGACTGTTGTTGTCCTGGCAGCACTGGGCTAGATTGAGTAGTGTTTCCCATTTTTCTTCCTGTGTCAAATGGAACTTGAGATTTCCTGTACTCTGGACTAAGAAATGAATTGAGGTGTTTATGCAACGAAGAGTATGATCTTTCTTGGAGTTTTGTTAGGCAATTAAATTGCTTTGTTTTTCACTTCTTTGTAACAAAAGTCCTTTATGTGGATTCTGAAAGGCAACATCTTGTTTGCTTCATTCACTTAGGCAAACTCTACTTTTATGTGGTATAGATTATTATGCAGAATATGTTGTTGTTCGCTCTTGCTTGGTAGACTAATGATTCTAAGTATTGTAAAACTGCGTTACTGAAAGCTGGTGCTTGGAAGACAAAGAACCAGAGCATATGGAGTAATCAAAATATTGTCATTTGATTCTTTTGGTGTTTGCCCAGAAGTTGTTTGGGATTATTTTTATTCACTCCATAATGACTTGCTATAAACACGGCATATATATAAAGGAAGACTGTGTTCTTTGATCCATCTCTTTATTCTTTTTTTCTTTCTCCAAACTGGATGAGCAGTCTGTGAGTTACCTTGCGGGAAAATACAAGTAAATGGAATATAGTTCGTTGTTCATAAAATAGAGCCAAACATGATGTTTACAATACAAAATCTCTCCATAACCTGACTAGATAAATTGTCAGTTCTTTAAGAATGAATTCAATAAAAAATGATGCAAACTTTTATTAACTATTTTGCAAATTCAGGCAGTCTGAGGCATGAAATATTGTTTGTGTTGTGTCCAGCAAAATAACTGAGTATGTGCATAGCTTAAGAACAAAGTAGGCAGTTTGGTTGCTTAAATACTACTGTGTAAGTCCATAATGGGGAAGCTGAACCCTACAAGGCAGAAAGACGCAGACAATAATTGCTCAGGCTGGAGAAGAGAAGGCTCTGGGGAGACCTGATAGCAATTGTTTAAGTATCTAAAGAGGAGCTAAAAGAAAGAAGGGGACAGGCTCTTTATCAGAGTCTGTTGTGATAGGAGAAGGGGAAATGGTCTCAAACTAAAAGAAGGGAGATTTAGACTGGATGTAAGAAAAAATATTTTTACAGTAAGGGTAGTAAAGCACTGGAACAGGTTGTCCAGAGGAGGTGGTGGGTGTTCTGGCCCTGAAGATATTCAAGGTCAGGCTGGGAAGGAGCTCTGACCAACCTCATCAAGCTGTACATCTCCCTTTACATTGTGGGGGAGTTGGTCTAAACGATCTTTAAGGGTTGCTTTCAACTCAAATGATTCTGTGAAAAGAAAGGGATATACCTGCACCATGAATGCATGTTCTGCATATGAAAATCTAGACTGAAGGAGATGGGGATCCGTAGTGGAAAAATTTCCTTGGGGTTGTGCTGTTCATCTGGAAACCAGCATCATCTAGATTAAAATTCACAGAAGAACTGATGCTCTAATGCCTTGTTTGTTTGTTTGTTTTCCAAGAACGTGCTGGTGCTTTATGAATTACAAGCTCATTAGTACTGAAGGAAGCAGGTAAACAAGGAGTTGCAGTCCCTTGTTGAACAAGGTTTATGCGTTTTCCCCATCAGATTTGAGTAAGAGCTCCCAGTCAGGGGCTCCTGTGCTGCTGATAAACATGATTACTGCCAGCAGGACTTGTCATGTGTGGAATGATCCTGCTGAGCTGGAGGAGAGTGATTATGAGTACTGTGCTGGCACCGCTCACCTGTGGTCATGTTATTTAACAGAGGCCATACCGTACTTACCTGGTAATGGAAGCAAGTATTGTGGAAGGAATGGATTAGTTAAATTTCATAACTTCTGTACTAATCCAGATATTTTGTTTTGGCTTTCCTGTTTCAGGTTGAAGGGAAAACAGAAGAAAACGAGACTAACAAAAGACGTCGCAAAGGTCTTTTTGGTGTCTTTGAGGAGGTTGGTGTTAAGCAGTGTCAGCACCTATCCAGTTCATTGCAAAGCACCAGAACTGAGGAGGCAGTGGGAGTTAGAAGAATGGGGTTTGGACTCTTATGCTTGCTGGGAACAAAAAACCTTGTCACCTGAAAACTTGAATTCACTGTTCTGTGCTTCTCTTCTCTTCAGCATTCTCTTCTGTGCTGAAGAGAAGCTACATTTATTTAAATTGTTTGATAGAAATAAGAGCTTTAGGTCAATCACACTAGTTCATTTTCTTTCTGACACTAGACTATTAATGTATAAGGTTTTTTCCTTTTTGCAATTCAGTTACTTAAACATTGTTTGTCTATGTTTGAAGAGTTTGTGTTGTAGCTTGATTGCTGCTCTCTCTCTTAGGTTGGTAACCTTTGTGACTGCTTTGTGATCACCAGTATTGATTGGTGTTCCCTATTTACTGCCTCATGGAATTTTGCATGCTAAGCAGTGTCAATTTTAAGATACTGTAGATTCTTTGCTGGTTAGAATGTTATTTTCTCTCTTTGTTAATGTTATTGCTATACTTGAGAAAAACAATTTGTTCTTTTATTGTAGGCCTCAGGATTTTCAAGCCAGGAGACAAGTGTTGGGAAAGAACAGAATGATGGCAGAGAAGGAATAAATCAGAATAAAGTTAAATCAATGGCAACTCAATTGTTGGCAAAGTTTGAAGAGAATACTCCAAATACAATTTTTCGGAGGCAGGTAGGTCATAGATGAACATCAGAGTCACCTCTGAAATTAAACAGTAGTCCCTCCATGTGAGTGTGATGCAGATTTTGGGGGGGGGGGGGGGCAAAGTGGATCTATTAGATGTTTGAAGTGGATTTTCTTTCTTTCATGTTTTAAATTCTTTATGCATATTAAAGAGTATTCCTCCTAGTAATTAGGGAATAAACATGAGTAAGTAATATGGAGATATTATACCCTATATTATAGGGTACATTAGTATCATGTAGTGAAATTTCAGAGTCTGGAAATCTTCTGTAGAGCAATCTAGAAATTTAATTTGTATAGGAGTCTCTTGGGCTGTGTATGGTATCACAACAGAATTTTTTCTCATAAATGCAGTAATCCCAGCAAATAATCCCAGGCTTTTAAGGTAATGATGGAAATCTCATAATCACACTTAAGTCAGCAAGATGGCTTCCTGAATCAGCTGAATTCAAACCTGATACTTTGGAGGGGAAAAAAAAAAAAAAAAAAGTCTGAAGAAAGGATATGCGAGGTGTCCAAGAGCTGTCAAGAGTGGTAGCTTTCTTGATTTTGTGCTTTGTCAATTTAAATATTTAAGTCTGCAAGAAGTGCAGTCATCATAGTTGTCAAGTGACTTTGATAGTCAACCACTGCTGTCTGCATTCTTCCCAGCTATGTCAGTGCCCTGGAATTTGTGAAACCTGTACAGAACTTTGCTTGTTCATGTTCAAGGAAGCCTTGATGCATTTACCAAAGGTTAACGTTATAGACTTAGGGCAGAGTGGCTGGAAGACTGTGTTCAGGAAATGGACCTGGGAGTATTGATGGACACTTGGCTGAACATGAGCCAGCAGTGTGCCCAGGTGGCCAAGAAGGCCAATGGCATCCTGGCTTTTATCAGAAATAGTGTTGCCAGCAGGAGCAGGGAGATGATCATCCCTCTGTACTCAGCTCTGGTGAGGCTGCACCTTCAGTACTGTGTTCAGTTTTGGGCCCCTCACTACAAGAAAGACACTGAGGCTTAATAGGTTAAAGGTTAGTAAAATGAGTTGTGGATGAAAATTTGCAAAACATGTTGATGAAGCTCTGTAGTAGTATCTGTTTAAAAACAGCTTTTATTTCTTATTCTCAATATCTTGGAATCCTATTTACTATCTTCCTTTTTTTTTTCCCACTCTGTCTTTATAATTAAAAAAAAAACAAAACTATACAAGGAGCAAATAGATAGACCAGCACAGCTCTCTTCTGACTCTCCTGTTAATCCTCGCTTTGCTCAACCTAAAGATACAAGTCTTCTGTCTCAACCAAAAAGGCAGGTAGGAACTCACGTGGGTAACATGTGACAAGCGTACTGCTCCTCTTTCTGATGAGGACTCATTCATATATATACTTAGCTAAGATTTATGAAAACTACTGTAAAGTTCAGTGCTTTTTTAGGCCTGCTTGACCAGATGAGAAAACTTTTGGAAAGAAGTAGTATCTGCATGGAATGAACTTGGACAACCTGTAGGTGTTGATTTATGTATATCTGGATGATTTATGTACAGCTGGACTTCACTCTGTATAACTATTATTGCGTATATGCATTTAGCGTGCAAGAAAAGAACAACAGTAGCTGAAAAAATTCTATGTATATATATGATGTGCTGTTTCCACTCTGAGAAAACTGGCAGTATATCTAAGATAAAGGCTTGAGCATTGAAAATCTGATTTTAATGACCAGATTTTCTACTTCTTTAAGTAGAAGTTGTGAGAAATACTGCTAGAAGCTCTTTTGCAGCATCATATACATGGAGTGAAATTTTTTTAGTATACTTAGTTTAATTCACTTTATGTTAGAATTTTCAATGTTAGTAAATATTCTGTAGTGATCTCCCAAGAGTAGTCTGCAGCAAAGTGGGATCTGAATTGCATTGGAATTCTTCATGGCAGCTTGAAAAAAAATGCACATTCATTAACAAGTTGTGAATTGATTATTTTTAAGGCAGATGTGCTGTTCTGTTAACATTGGGAGCACACCACACTGATTGGGATTAGCATTTTTTAATTTTGATTCTGAGAAGTTTGGAAAGTTTGTATAATTTCTTTCAATTGGACAAATGAAATGAAGTAGAAATCTATCATGAAAAGACCAACTGGAAAGTAGTTATTAAGACTGAATTTGACAAAGCTGACCTGACTGACTTCAATTACTTCAAAAGCTCTTTCATACGAAGTTTAAAAATCAGAGACCCATTCTGAGCTCCTCAGAAACTGCTTCAAATCTGAAGAATGTTACATCTTGTGTCATGTCACGTTAGATCTAGCATTACACCAAAGTCGACTGCTGGTGTTTTCACAAGTTCATTCCCTGGTTTCAGGCAGATGCAGTGGTAAAAAAAAATGTTGAATAAAACAAAAGCAAAACTAGAAGGAGACACATTGTGATGTTCTCCACTGATGCTGTGTGGGGTTATTGGTGTAGAAGCTGAGATAAACTTAGGAGAGGATGCCAGCACTTTCATAAGTAGCACTGATGTGTTTCTGTGCATGGGCATGAGCAGTAGATGTGCAATAAATAGTGGAGAGAGATTGCTGTGAGACCAAGGAGAGCATTGCATTGCTAATTCTGTGCATGACTGTGCTGTGCTTTTGTAAGCATCTTTAAAAACCAAGTGTGCTGCATGGTAGTGCAGAAGGGAGATTTTTTTTTTTCACTTCAAGTGTTTCCCAGTTTCAGGTGGTAGCTAGACCTGAACACGAGGTGAGGGAAACCAAACAGTCTTTAAATGGTTCTGATCATATGGCCAGGAGACCAAAGGCTCTAGAAAAAACAGATATCCAGCGCAGTCTGTCAGAAACATCTGAAAATCTTGCATCTGCTTGTTCTGCTGCATTTGTACTTTCTGGAGTGCTTGAACGTCTTCAGCACCTGGATGAAAAAATGAAACAGGTGATAAGCAATTACTTTTCCTTTCTCTTAACCACATGTATTAATCTGCGTGCTGTATTTTCACTGGATATGCTTGCTTTTTATCTGTTCATTTTAGGTTACATTAAGAGAATTAAAATACTTTCTGCATACTTGCTGTATTCTGATGATATCTGTGTTGTTAACTGAAATCTTTCTCTTTCTTTCCCTGGCTTTCCTTTCCTGACTCTTACTGCAGAAAAGAGCTCAGACCATAGCAAATAGAGAATTCCATAAAAAGAACATTAAAGAGAAAGCAGCACATCTTGCCTCACTGTTTGGATACATGGATTTTCCAAAGGTGAATATTAGGTTTTGTACCTGCAGAATTGCTGAGTTAGAAGAGTGATCTTAGAATTCTTGGGTTAAAAAAAAAAAAAAAAAAAAAAAAAAAGAAGCCATGATTTTGCTTTTAACCTTTCATTCATCTTGAGTAAATCGGATAAGTCATTTGGACTCCATGAAATTTGGTAAAACCTTCAGTTTAAATATTATTGCATAATTTAATTGAGGTAAAATACAATTGTAACCATAAAGGTGGTCAGAGTACCATAGCATAAGAGAAATGTCTTGGCATGGTTTATTCGTTGTGTTTACAAGTATACACTATTATCTCACTGTTTCTAATGAGTTGGTGAACAGTAGCTCTCAGTCAGTGAAATTTGGCATGTAGCATTTTTTTTTTTAATGCTTTCTTAACTTATTGCCCATTGCAATAATTTTTGTAAGAAAGCTGAGTATAATAATACCATCTGAGATGAAGGTTTTGTCACGACGATTTCAATGGCTCCTCACTATGCAGAATTAGAGAATGGTGCAAAATTGTAGTAATCTTTTTTTCTTGTGCATGACTGTGAAGTTATTCTCTTAACCTGTGCTAATGTCACTCTCTTGGATAACTCTCCTCTGTTTCTGCTCTACACAGAATAAGCTGCCTACTAAAGGCTTATCCCATTCTCAGCCCCCAACTCCCTCTTGCCCTCCACCTCATGATTCAGCTGCTGCCTCTTCTCCGTCATCTGTAGGTTCAGCTTCCCCTGTTCTTCCTTCTAGACAGGTACTCTATTAACAGATTTTTCCTGTAAAATCCAAACTTGTGGTAAGGCTGTTTGAGAAATGGCTTGGATGAAAGGTGCTGCCTTTGCACGGTGGATCTATTCTATAGTTTGTATTTCACATTAGAATTAAACCTCAGTTTTCTTCACCATGGTGAATTCTGCATGTTTGCAAGAGGAAAGTCAACAAATGGTTTGGCTATGAAGCTAAAGAATAGAACAAATAATTGAGAAAGTTCTGGCTTAAATTCTGAATTTTTGGTATTGATGTTTAATTTCAGTGCTCTGTTGTTAGATAATGCCACAGAAATGCTTAATGGAGAGAGAGTTTCACATAGTATATCTGGATGTTAGGGGATTAGTTAGCTGTGCTGGGTGGGTATTTGTCTTTATAAGATTATCAGTTGGGTCTGCAGGGAAGAATCTGGGTGATAATGGTTATTTTAAATAGAGGATGTGTGTTAGGATTGTGTAAGCACGTGTTGATACAATAGACTTCACTGTTTTGCTTGTTTACTTATTTATACTTTAAAACTCACTTCTGCATGTTAATTGCTGGAACTCTGTTCTTTGCAATGCAAGCTTCATGCAGGGGAAACCAGCACGGACTTAATGAAAGCAATTTGGTAACGTGAATAAGAGATATTCAGCTGTTACTGCTTATGCTAGTTTTAAAATGTGCTTTTGTCTGTGGAAGATGAGGTGACGTTGGCTTCCAACTCTTCTGTTTCATAAGTGTTTTAATTGAGGAAAGTTGGATATGTTTCAGCTTTTTAGGGCCAATAAAAGGCTCAGGTTCTCCTTCCTTCACCCTGGTTCTGTAGTGGCAGTCTGGGAACACTGCAACACTGCAGTACTACATGGGAATATTGCATAGGAGTATTGTCTTGATGTGGGACTAAGGGTGAAAACATGATTTTTCTGGAAGCACTGGGAATGACCGCCATGACTCAGAGCAGACACTCTCTGATGGATGTTCAGCAGATTAATTTAGTGGAATTGGT